CCCCCCCCCCCCCCAATCAAGGATGGGAAATTGGCGCCTTTTGGCTTTTGCGCTGCTTCATCCTTGATTTGGGGGGATGGGAGTTTGCTGTTCCATTTTATTCTGTCCAAGATTGCAGGTGCAGTCAGCCGAGGAGGGAGGATGGTCATGATGTAGTTCATGTATAACCTATAAAGGCGGCCAAGGTCATAAAATGTAGTTCTAATGAGGTTTTGAGTGGGTGAAAGTAACCGTAAAGTGTGATCATGAGGATCAAACTCCTTCCGTCGAATACAGTTCTACGTTCATACTTCACCGTGTGGGTGTTTGTTCAAGGGTGAATGAAATGTATGTACGTCACTCAACGTCACGCTTTCGTGACTCATTTCCTCTTTTGAGCCGACCGCTGCGATGCGCTTGAATGATCGAGAGAAAAACATGGCAGGTTGTGCTGTTGGAAACTAGGCCTAACCTACTCGGACAGACTTTAAAAGTACTAAATACTGAGTATTTTGTCGGGAAGAGTTTGGTTTAATTTGCGGTTCGACGGATCAAATTACGTGACTTGCGCGCATGGTCCCCCGGCATGCAATTTTTACATGCGTTGACACTAAGCCGTAAGGTCGAGGTCTCTCGAGACAGTTACCGGTATAATAATTCCAACCAGCGATTTCTGATCGTTGAACACTCTAAATTTTAAGGTAAGTTTAACTTTGAATTGTCTTGATTTTAACTGAATGCTATTATTCGCGTTGTAATTGTAAAATTCAATTGTGACACCAATCAATCTTCCATTCTTCGCTTCTGTTCAAACTATCTTTTTGGTCTTTGCATTGTTTGCTGACTGTGGATCCTACATAAAACAAGTCTTTTTCGTTGGATATTAGATCGTTGCTATATAGCTATAAATGGAGTAGCTGATATTCAGGGATTATTTCTTTTGTTACTTGTACCTTGGTGCATTTTGCCGCTATATCATTGGTCAACTGCCCTAAGGGTCCTGGCACCGAAAGCTAGGTAAACAAATCGTTTTTGTGGTCATGAGTCGGCAAATATTCAGATTGTTTGCTTTAAGAAGATCTGGCCGAAATCTTTCCATTTCATGACTGTGTGTACTTCTGAAGTAATCCCGTTTTATTAACGAGGTATTTGTGTTTTGTTCTTTCGCCCAGATGTACTGAATGTTTACCTGAGGCATTGGTTGTTTGTCATTCGCTTCTTATATTAGTTAGATACAGTTTCAATCTGCAAGTTTGGGAAACTTTACAAAGATTTTCAGTATGGACGATCAAAGTGTCGCAAGTGCGACATTTCAAAGTCAGAGATTTCAAGACGAATTTGAAGTGGAAGACGAAGAAACGACGCCTGCTTGTGGAATAGCCTCATGGAGACCAAACTTTCTACAGCGCTTTGCAAAACCGAAGTGGTTTCTTCTATTTCAGTGCTGGTTAGTTCTTGCTCAGGGTATGATAGTTTCTGGGTTTTCTGGAGTTGTCATTTCTTCGCTTGAAAAACGCTTCTCGCTGAAAACCAACGAGGTTGGAATTATCGTTAGTTGTTATGACATATCTGCCGCGATTATGGCCATTGTAGTCAGCTACTACGGGCACCACCACAAACCAAAATGGCTGGGAATTGGCGCGTTTATTCTAGGTATCGGCTGTTTTCTTTTCGCTCTTCCTCATCTGTTAGTAGGAAGATATCAACCAGGATCAAGCGCAAGTAATCTTTGTACATCTGACGTTTTTCCGGCTAGCTTGGTATGTCGTAGTTCTGTATGGTACCATATCTTTTTCTTTGTCCTCGCGGAGTTTTTGATCGGTGTAGGTGCTACTCCAGTCTACCTGTTGGGGACATCTTTTATTGATGAAAATGTTCGGCATTCTACCTCCGGCATGTTCCTTGGAATTATGTATGCAGTTGCTACATTCGGTCCTGCCATTGGATTTTTGCTGGGAGGAGAATTTCTCAATATTTATGTGGACATCACACAGGTACACAAAATTAGCATATTCTAGAGTTTATTCTACGTAAACTTAGCCTGCGAAAACATCCGTTTCTCCTCGCTCTTCGCCGCTGGGGACGTTTCGCGCGGAGGAACGTCTGCGACTCAGCGACAGAAATTCCATCCTGATGACGTAAAATATGTCCAGAATCCGGTCAGAAGCCCTGATTGGCCAACGGAGTAGTTACAATGTTTTAACTATTGTTTACGAATGACAGACAAAAGACAAAAGGCCACAAAAGTCAAATGTAAACGCGATGAATCTCTAACAAAACAGTCAATATTTGTGGAATATAGTCTTCTCTAGAACAAGCATTTGAGTTTTGCTGGAGCTCGTTCGCAGATGAACACAACACTTTACCAAAGCGATCAGGAGAAAAATTGAATAAATCCCAGGGGGGAGGGATAAATTTACATTTGGAGCCCTACGACTACCGGATTTATTAAGTAAACATTGATTTGCGTCATCAGTATGGAATTTCTGTCGCTGAGTAGCAGACGTTCCTCTGCGCGAAACGTCCCCAGCGGCGAAGAGTGAGGAGAAACGGATGTTTTCGCAGGCTAACGTAAACTTAATTGGGGTGCATTCGATTGGGAAATCGGAATTTGAATTTTAAAATCCCTATTTTGGTTAACAAAACACAAAATTCAAAAATGGATTTCAACATTGAGAAAACTGTTGATTGGATTTCCTTTCTTTCCTTTCTTTTTTTTTCAAAAGAATTTGAACAATTTATTTTTCTCAAGATTGCAGGTCTTGCATGCGAATGCATGATTAACACTAATAAAAGACCACTGTTCATGAGAACAAATCTTTAAAATGCTAAAGAAGAAAATTCATGAAATCCTTCTTTGGATTTCAAATCCACCTCAAGGACAGATTTCTTGATGCTGAAGTCTATTTTCAGATTTTGCATTCTTTTGCAAGATCTAAATTTTGGATCCAGATTTCCCAACAGTTCTTCAAGCTTTTTGAAAACAACTTCTTCCAATTCCATGGAACATATGACAATCACAGTGTTCTTCTTATCAGGCGGTAACCGGTAAAATTTACCTTCTGAAGCAACACTTCTTTCCACCTGCAAGTGCTTGAAGGTTAACTAAAATAAAATTAGTTGTTGATCTGAGCAAGGTTATGAATGAATTTATGGAAGTGTACTAAAGTATACATAGCTTTCTTTCCATGAGCCACAGATTTCGGAAAGAGAGCATTGAAGACAGAGTAGAATTATTGGAATCAGACGTTTTAAATTGTTTTCTAAAGATAATAATGGCTGATTTGTGTAAAATAGGTCTTTAAGTGAGGGAATGATGTTTCGGAGAAATTAGCTCTTAAATTTCACAGTAAGGTCAGATTGTCCCTCACTCCACTACCTCCCTCCCCCCGGGAAATTGTGCCTCTGACGCTTATTTTTTGTCTTACCAGCTTGTAGCTGGTAAGACAAAAAATGGTCCCTTACTTGCTGAGCTAAAAGTTAGGGTGAACACTGCAATCACTGTGTTAGTGTCCACTTTAGCAAAATTCTCAGATCTTATTGGTTATCAGTTGTTCTGAGTTCATCATTAATAGGACAGTATACAGGTGTCATGCCTTAGTAATTGGACAGTACACCCCATTGTGTGCACACTTGAATAATTTTTTTAATGCCAGCAAAAAAACTCTTGAAATATCTTGTTATTTACTTTTAAGGGCTTTAAAAAACATCACAATTTTTTTTTTGTAGTTATTATTAATAATATGGTACATGTAACAGAACTTTGTGTCATCGAATTCATTGTCTTAAAGTCATGCTTGTGATTTTAAAAACAAATCTTACTCCCTCTATGTTAATCGTAGAGTTTGTTAATCACTGTCTTGTATGAATACAGAACAAATTGGGCTCCATATATTTCAGTCCATTATCATCATGATCAAAATGATTAATTTCAGATATGTACTGTCAATTCAACTTTCTTTTAGCCAGAAGGTGTTGAGCTTACACCAGAGGATTCCAGCTTCATTGGAGCCTGGTGGTTGGGTTTTATCCTGGGTGGATCATTATCTATACTTGTCAGCCTTCCGATGATTGCATTTCCAAGAGAGCTCCCAGGGACACCAGAAATACGGGCTGAAAAACAAGACTCTACTGACTATGTTGATGATGATAACATTCAACACACATTTAAGCAGCTGCTTCCCATGTTGAAGTCTCTTCTGACAAACAAAGCTTTTGTTTGTTTAGCTCTCGCTGCGTCCTTTGAAGGATTTGCTGTGAGTGGATTCTCAACGTTTTTACCAAAATTTGTCGAGGCACAGTTCCGCATCCCTGCTGGGAAGGCGGCAACCTATACAGGACTTGTAGTAGTACCCGGAGGCAGTGGGGGAATGCTGCTTGGAGGTTATCTGATCAAAAGAATGAAATGGACATGTGATAAAATCATCAAAGCATGCTTCATAATTGCCTCCTTTGCAACACTGTGGACTTTTGGATTGTTTCTGGGATGTCCTAACAGAGATTTTGTTGGTGTCACTCATACATATGTTAACAGGTAATGAATCATTTGGTTGACAATTCAGGTGTAACAGCTTAACCCTTTTAATACTTAATCCCCACTATCCACATACAAATTCTCCAAACTGATCTCCTTGAGGAATTATGTGATAAAACTTGTCAGAAGATCAAATTAGAAGAGAGCTGTATATTTATTTGAAGGATAAGCGCAAATCCAGAGTAGTTTCCATGGAAACTCAAATTCTCTGTTTGTAGTCAACCCACCATAAGGGTTAACCAAGTTTTGAACAACTTGGCATAGGACTGTAGCTACTGCTTACTTTTCTTAAAAATGCTTGTTGGTTAAAAATTTAGAAGCAGGGACTACAAGTACGTGGTCAGAGTTTGGAAGTCTGCTGATAACTATACACTGTGCATTTAAACATAACCAGCATACATGGCTGTCATTTCCCCTGCCTACTTTCATAATATAATGGAAGAAGATAGAACCAAAAAATATAAAATAGTCCTTACCTGTTTGACTTCCTGTGTCCACTTGTTGTATTTACCTGGTAACTTGAAGTCTTAACAACAGCTCTGCTACATAGTTTCTATTTCTCGGAGGGACTTTCCCCAGTTTCATTTATGATTTGATTTATCTTTTTTTTTTTCTGTCTTCACAAATCTAGTTCAACACTGGAGAACATCACTTCATCATGTAATGCCAAGTGTAACTGTGATGTGAAGTATTTTTCACCTGTTTGTTCAAAAGAAGATCAGCTGACCTTCTACTCCCCCTGTTTTGCTGGCTGTTCTGCAGACAATGTAATAGGAACCAAAGTAAGAAATTGAATTTCTCTAACTTGCTTATTTGTCCCCTTATTTTTGTAGAAAATTTTCAACTTCAGGATTGAAGAATTGATCCACTTTCTTGTCACTATAGAAACCCTAAACTTATCCTTGCAGTGAAAACAAGTTTACTACTCTCTGAGGGATACAGGAGTATCAGTAAGCACCGACAACTGACAAACCACGTCTACAGCTTCTTTGCTTAGAGAAGTTGACTGCTCTTTCCTTTAATTAGAAGGTGGAAGCTATTGAATTTAAGATTCTGTCAAAACTTAAATTAAAATTCAATTTGCTGGAGTTAAACATACTTTTTGCTTCAGTATAAGAATTAAAGGCTTAATTTTTATTAAAACCCCTGGGGATAAAAAAAAGTAAATAAATATATTTTTTCAGAGGAAAGTGGTGACACTCTGTGCACATGCACTCCAATATATCATCTCCATCCTTCTCTTAATCATTTTGCTTTCCGTCATTAAAAGTTAGAAACGTTTCTGAAGGAGGCAGGTAGATTATTTTTTGAAGAAGATGTACTGTAACATTCCTGCTGAAACATTCATGAGTGTACGTATACTGTAAGCAGGCAAAGAAAAATTTGATTCCATGAAAAAAGCCTAGACATCCCATATATAGTGGCTGTATATATAGAGAGCACTCAGAAAAACTGGGGTTAATGGACCGTTTTACAGTTGGGGGCTTTGTACCCTAGCCTTTAACCCTTTAAGCCCCAATATCCACATGCAAATTCTCCAAACTGATCTCTATACATTTCCTTTAAGAAGTAGTTGAGAGAATTTGATAAAAGATCAAGGCATTTTCTGTTTGGTGATCATTTTATTAATTCATAACCTTATCTCTTGACAATTTATTGATATTGTTAGGAGAATATTGATGTCGGTCACTATTGGGACTCAAAGGGTTAAGTGAATGTGGGGCTGACCTTGTCTTGATACAAACCTTCTCTGTTTTTTTATGGAAATTATGCTTGAAAAATACCAGTTAGCATAAGAACTACATAATTAACGTGAGACTGCAGGGGGTTGTATCAAAACAAAATAAATTCCAGCCTCGTAATTCCATCGATAACTGTAAAGAGGACTATTTAACAATTATTCCTCGAGCCCAAATGGGCTCCGAGTCAAAATAGCCCATGAGGCCGAAGGCCTCAGAGGCCATGAGGGTGAGAGGAATAATTGTTTTAGTAAAATCCAACTGGTTGGTCAAAAATATCGAGAATAAAAAACTTTTAGCTAGTTTAAGCTAGACTTTAATCCTTTTTTGCTGCCAAAACGGCCGCGCTTTTTGCTACTAGTGGGCTATCATATAGCCTAGTACTTAATTAGTAGCTCAGCCAATTAGAACAAAGCATTGATAATAGACCACTAGTTGGATTTTACTAATTATAATAAGCATTCACAGATAGTTCTACTTTTTTTGTTTTGTAGAAATATCAAAACTGTAGCTGCTTTCCAATTCCACTTAGTGAAGGAATAGAAGAAAGTGGCTGCAAACCTGACTGCAATACACTCCTTCCCTTTCTTCTCTGTCTATTTGGTCTCATGGTTTTTACATTTCTCAACAACATTCCTGCGACCACAGCAACATTAAGGTATGATTAACCCATTCGCCCCTGAACCCCCCGTAACCGCCCGTGCGGATCCACGTCCTTTCTACCCTTTGTGATGTCATCGGTTTTAACGGTCAAGGACAACTTTGTCCGCTAACTTGTGCAGAGTGAAGAGATCTTTCAAACCATACCAGAATGAGCACAATTCAGTCAAGGACACCGGAGAAAGAGGCAAAAAACCATGTAACATTGACCTGAAAATCTCCATGAAAATCTTGTTCCATTGCCCACCTACCTTTCCTTTCACCTAATCCTAAGATCCTAAAAGCTTTCCTAAAAACTATTCCCACCAAAATGAAGCCTACTAAATGCCCAGCAAGAGAAAAAAAAAATGAGGCAAGAAAAGCGAAAAAAGAGGGGAGGAGAGAAAGCGTAAAGTAAAAGTCAAGACTGCTGTGTCACTTTTAAACCCAAAAACTATGTCGAAATTTTGCTTTCTGCGCATGCCCGAACTTCGCAAGCTGATATTTTGCATCTGGATCAGAAGGCCATGAAGTGTACGACCTGTAAACTGGTTTGTGGTAAGTTTTAGCCCTTTATAGCAAGACAGTGACTAGAAAACCACTCGACTAGCTTTAAAACGCGTTTTTTGGCAAAATCTCCAGGAGCGAATGGGTTAAGCAAAATAGGTGTTGCATTTTGTTTCTTGCCATTTTGCATATGTGTTTCTTGCCATTTTGATTTGGTCAGCTGGGGGTGGATATTAAAATATTAGTGGAGCTCTTGTGCCCTCTCAAAGCACATGCAGCATTTAATTACCATGGGTAGTGCCTGTGTGTTCATGTTAACGGATATAAATGTTGCCCTTTCTCACTAGCTTGGAGTGCAAGGCATTATACAATCTGTGTTAACTTAATATTGGACATCCATGTTACTGTCAAAGACAGATCTATTCATTGTACAGTGGTGGTGTGTTTTTTTAAAGTTCTCTGCTGACCAGTTATTGGTTTTCAATAATTGATCACGGGCTCAGGTCCACTTTTTCGGGGCGAATTCAGTTTCTTTCTTGCTTATGGCAAAGCTGAATTACTTGAGAAAGACTTTGATCCTTAAAAGATCTCTCAAGAGCCTTGCTTTTGTCCTTGAATAAACCTATATTTACAGTCAGTATATTTGCAGTGATGTTTTTAATACGTGTTAGGTGAAAAATAAGGTAGATATTTACAATGAGAATTATCTCAACTCATTCTCAGGTGTGTTCCAGAGAGCCAAGGGTCTTTTGCTTTGGGTATACAACAGCTCATTGTACGTATATTGGCATTCATACCATCACCTATTGTGTTTGGATTTGCAATTGATACTGCTTGCCGTTTGCGTCAAAAAGATCCGTGTGACCCTGGAGCAGAGAAAAACTGCCTAGAATATGACACTGATTCGTTCAGGTAAGTAAAATTAAGTATACTGTACACAGTCATGTAAACAGTTGATGTATTGATTTTGTAGACACACTGTCAGGCTGGTAGCTGAGGGTCAGGGCCTTCTGGGACCTTTCACTTGCAGATCGTGTGATGCTGGAGATCCCTACTTTAAGTGCGCAGCCTGACAGAGCCAGCACTGCAACCAACCTGCAAGAACAGTAAACTGTCTCTAAGATGGAAACCTTTGTGACTGGTCAGCAATAAGTGTCCATCTCAGAGAGTTTTCCATATACATGTATAGAGAGTTTAATAATATAAAGAGAGCAATTATAGACAGGGGACCATTTTATCAAGGTGTCCAATTAGAGGGAGTCGTCTAGTCGGCCATAAGTTGGTCCTAATTTGCCACTGTTCAGCCTTTTTGTGACACTCTATAATTGCAGACATGTGTCTGAGATAGACACTTGGGGACTGCTTATCATTTACACCACCATCCAGTTGGAAATCAAAACAGTAATTATAAAATTTGACATGGTGGGAGAATGATCCACTTCTAGTGTCAACTCTTTCTAAGACGGACACCTTGGGGACCCGCAGTATGTGTCCGTCTTAGAGAGATGTCCGTGTTATAGAGAGATAAATAAAGGAAGTACAAAGAAAGACAGGGACCAACTCTGAGTGTCCATTTTACAGAGGTGTCCATCTTATAGAGGTGTCCGTTAAGAGAGAGCAGACATAATCCAAATCAGCTGAGCAATGCAGACTAAAAAGAATAGAAAATTGCATCATCCCAAATCACAGCCCATATTTTTTTAACCTTCTAAAACAGAATGGCACTAAGTAACCATTTGATTTTCCATCTGGAATTTCCAGTTTTTCCATGTAAATGGTAACATAAGTATCCCTGGATGTCTGTCTGACCAAGAATTGACACGAACCCATTTGCTTTTTATACAATGTATGCTCATTGGCACCAGTATAGGAGTAACTGCCCAATTTCATGGGAAAACCATTGGTAAGCTAACTCAAACATAGTTGTGTGAAATGATGTACTATAAAATAACTAGGTCTATTATTTTGGTACTTGTCATCTCCTTCATTATTTCCTATCTCAGTGTTTTTGCTCAATTTGATCTGTTTTTTTTTAGGTATATAATGTTAGGTCTGGGCGGTACTTTCAAGGCTCTATCCGCTGTTGCCTTTTTCTTTGCATGGAAGTTTTACAAACTGCCATGTAAAGCTCAAACAGAGGGAGTTGGAAGGCAGGATTCCAGTCCAAGTGATGTTGCATCTCAGATAACACTGGTGGATGGCAATGACACTGACAAGGAAAAGAAGGAAACAGAGCTTACTCCAGTGGCACAGTTTATCACTGTTTCCAACTCTTCTAATGAAAAGCTAAAGCCTGTGATTACGTCGTACAGGAAGACAACAGATGTATAGTATAATAATATTATTTTAGACTGTTATTATAATATTATTAGTGATAATTATTATCAGAGCCGTCAAGGGGCCTGTGCAGTGTTCTCTTTATCAGGCTGTAACCTTTAAACTTTACCTCCTGAAGCAACATTTCTTACCACCTGCAACCGCTTGAAGGTTTACTAATTAAATTTAAAAAAAGTAGATTTTAAAAGAGGAAGTTTTGATGAAATCCGATTCTCACAAGGAAAATGAATAAATATATATGGGAAAGTACTGATTAGAAGTATACACAGCTTTTCTTTTTATGGGCCATGCATTTTGGAAAGAGAACATTGAAGACAGAGTTAAATCATTGGAATCAAATGTTTTGAATTGTTTTGTCTTAATAAGATAACAACAGTCGATTTATCAACATAAAATTCTCCCTTAACATTGCAATGACATACACTAAGAATCAAGCAGTCAATCAGATGTCACTAAGGGACGTTTTAGCTTTGAGAAACTAAGTATTATTATAGTAAAAACTGAAAATGTAAATCAACACAGTCGTTATTATACATGAAGNATCCGCTGTTGCCTTTTTCTTTGCATGGAAGTTTTACAAACTGCCATGTAAAGCTCAAACAGAGGGAGTTGGAAGGCAGGATTCCAGTCCAAGTGATGTTGCATCTCAGATAACACTGGTGGATGGCAATGACACTGACAAGGAAAAGAAGGAAACAGAGCTTACTCCAGTGGCACAGTTTATCACTGTTTCCAACTCTTCTAATGAAAAGCTAAAGCCTGTGATTACGTCGTACAGGAAGACAACAGATGTATAGTATAATAATATTATTTTAGACTGTTATTATAATATTATTAGTGATAATTATTATCAGAGCCGTCAAGGGGCCTGTGCAGTGTTCTCTTTATCAGGCTGTAACCTTTAAACTTTACCTCCTGAAGCAACATTTCTTACCACCTGCAACCGCTTGAAGGTTTACTAATTAAATTTTAAAAAAGTAGATTTTAAAAGAGGAAGTTTTGATGAAATCCGATTCTCACAAGGAAAATGAATAAATATATATGGGAAAGTACTGATTAGAAGTATACACAGCTTTTCTTTTTATGGGCCATGCATTTTGGAAAGAGAACATTGAAGACAGAGTTAAATCATTGGAATCAAATGTTTTGAATTGTTTTGTCTTAATAAGATAACAACAGTCGATTTATCAACATAAAATTCTCCCTTAACATTGCAATGACATACACTAAGAATCAAGCAGTCAATCAGATGTCACTAAGGGACGTTTTAGCTTTGAGAAACTAAGTATTATTATAGTAAAAACTGAAAATGTAAATCAACACAGTCGTTATTATACATGAAGTCAGTCCCATACTTTTGTCAAGAAATTCATGCACTACCTATTTTTGTATTAATTGCCTTTCAATATAATTATTATATAATTGTATTTAAAACTGGCTCCTTTGGAATGGAAGTAGAGAGGGACACATTGTCAGTTAGAAATAAAAATATTAGGATTAGTGTAGACTCAGAGGATAGGCACAACAAACATAATTATATATGTTATTTAAACCAATGTGATCATGATGATCTGAAAAAGAGAAAGTGATGTAAATTGCATGGTTCTTGGAGATCATATAAGCCCTTCTCCTGCTGGCCCCGGTTCCTGAAGGCCAGTTGGGGCTAAACCAGGATTAAAAATTTTGTTCTCTTTTTTTATTTACCTTTCTATGTATTGCCTAGAGTAAAATTCTATGCTATCATCACTGAATTTTGGAGTTGAGACACAAAAGTATTTTGTAAGCTTGAGTAACATGTTCTTGGACAAGAAAACCTGGCCTAGAATTTGGCTTAATCCTGGGTTAGACTTAAGCATCTTTCGAAGAACTGGGCCCTGGCCATGGAAAGTCATCAGAAAAACAAAGGGAGAAGGGGTTCTTGGCAGTTGATGGATTTTGGAAAGATTAAATCTAAACAGGACTTTATTGTGGGCTGAGTTTGGGAAGGGGGATGTATTATGTGAAGATCACTTACTTAGTTTACATTAGTGAGTTCATAATAGGGCCATTTATACGAGGAAAAATAAGACGTGTCTTACATAAGACGCGTCTTAAATAAGACGCGAACTGTACCATTTATACAAGCATGTCTTATCTGATAAGACGCGTCTTAGCTAAGCCGCGTCTTTTTTTAGACGAAATGTGCCGTTTATACGGAAAGTTCATGTCTTATTTAAGACGCGTCTTACGTAAGATGCGTCTTATTTTTCCTCGTATAAATGGCCCTATTGTCTCTATACAAATTACTATTTGAGAGGTAAAAGTTATTTTTTAATTTGTTTTTGTGTTTTGTTGATTTTTGCACTTGATTCATCAATCCATTCTCAATAGTTAGATTGATTAACCAGCTAAATTATTGTACACTGTATTTTGAAGGTACACAGGCAAGAAGGCCAAGATTATTATATCCAATCCCATATCATTTGTAGGATATTTTAGTACTTGTAGCTAGCTTGGTATGTCGTAGTTCTGTATGGTACCATATCTTTTTCTTTGTCCTCGCGGAGTTTTTGATCGGTGTAGGTGCTACTCCAGTCTACCTGTTGGGGACATCTTTTATTGATGAAAATGTTCGGCACTCTACCTCCGGTATGTTCCTTGGAATTATGTATGCAGTCGCTACATTCGGTCCTGCCATTGGATTTTTGCTGGGAGGAGAATTTCTCAAGATTTATGTGGACATCACACAGGTACACAAAATTAGCATATTCTAGAGCATACGTAAACTTAATTGAGGTGCATTCGATTGGGATTAAAATCCGTATTTTGGGTAATAAAACACAAAATTCAAAAATGGATTTTAACATTGAGAAAACTTTCGATTGGATTTTCTTGCTTTCCTTCTTTCCTTTCGTTTTTTTTTTTCAAAAGGATTTGTACAACTTGTTTTCCTTAAGATTGCAGGTCTTGCATGCAAATGCATGATTAACACTAATAAAAGACCACTTTTCACGAGAACAAATCTTTAAAATGGTAAAGAAGAAAATTCATGAAATCCTTATTTGGATTTCTAGTTATTGAAATCCACCTCAAGGACAGATTTCTTGATGCTGAAGTCTATTTTGAGATTTTGCATTCTTTTGCAAGATCTAAATTTTGGATTTCAAAATGTGAATCCAGGTTTCCCAACAATTCTTCAAGCTTTTCGAATACAACTTCTTCCAATTCCATGGAACAGCTGATAATCACTGTGTTAGTGTCCACTATAACAAAATTCTTAGATCTGATTGGCTATCAGCTGTCGTGAGTTCAGCATTAATATAGGACAGTATACAGGGTGTCATGCCTAATAGTAATTGGACAGTACACCCTATTGTGTGCACACTCAAATAATTTTTTTTAATGCTGGCAAAAAACTCTTGAAACATCTTGTTATTTAATTTAAAAGGCTTTTTAAAACATCACAATTTTTGTTATAGTTATTATTAACTAGTAATAGTTGACACTACAGCTGTCCCCACTCTGTATATTCAATTCAATTCAATTCAATTTTATTATTCACACTTTATAAAATATTTACTTTATATATAGTAAGGTAGG